TCATAAAAAGGATATTAAGCACATATGTAATCAATCTGCATTTACTTCCACCATACTTCAGAGCTCACACACTTAATAATTAACACTTATCTATATATCTGTAGAGATTTATTCCTGTATCATTCCGAGCTTTTTAAGATCCCAACCTGTTTACTTTTTCTGTCTATGGCATCTTTCCAGATAATAGGGGTAAGACAATAATGTTGTCTTATCCCTTGCTTACCATGTGTTTTTCTGTCCTGAAGCTGGTAGAATTCAAAAAAGGTGAGGAGATTCTACTTCACCTTGGAAATGCAGTATCTTCAAATACTAGATTCTGCTGTATACATCTCTCATATGTGATCCATGTCAAAGGGCCATACAGAGGCCCTCCAACGTCTATAGACCTTTACCAGGGAAAATAAAATAAATGGTAGGAGCTAGTGGATTCTAATTGAGGAAGATCATTTTAAAATATTGTTTCTTAACATTTGTAAAGTGTGCATTTTTAGGAAGCCACAATCAAGGTCCATATTGTGAAATCCACAATGAGCATTGTCATCACCCTTTAGGTCATGAGTTTGCTTATTTTTATGAAATGCCTTTGCATTTAGTAAATAGCTGTCAGATAACTAAGCCTCCAGGACTGGAGAGAGTCTTCAGTGTGAAGTTTGGGCTTTATAATCAGCTGACTGGCCTTGTTAAATTCACTTTTGCTGTAGGTAGACTTACTGGCTTGATTTCAGTCAGCTGGAAAATGGTGACCTGCCTTGCTGGGTTTGACATATTCTTTGTTAGCTACTTGTCAAGTTATGGTTTTGTAAAATACAGGAACAGTGTTAGGATGAGAAACCATGAAATTAGAGCACAATCAGTGGTGGTAGAAAAGACTTCATTCCTTATCCTGAGGGAAGTAGCACTATCTACTGAAAATTAAAGCATATTTCCCAGCAAATATATTTTTGATTCTGGGGTGTCTTGCTTCTTTTTTTAAATGTCTGAGAAATAAATGATCAGTAAGTGTACTGTTTTAAACCAAGAGTCAAAAGGAAAACTGACTCTGTATTACTGATAATATTATGTCTTCATCCCAAAAGAGAAGGTAGCCTTGAGCTTTCCGTGATCATTAGCTGTTTTCAGGAACTCAAAACTTTTGAAAACTTTCACATTTCTGAACAAAATTGTGCAGACTACACTTAAATACTTTTTTCTTCTCAGAAAAGCAAAATATTTTAAGGGATTGCAGGCAAATCAGCTTTCCAGAGCAGCAGATCATATGGCAAGTGTTTCATGCCCATTTTGATCATGGGCCCAACAATTTGGTCACATCTGATTGTACTTTATTTGAGCTACTGATTCGTGTAAGAACTGCAGGGAGGCTTTTTCTGTTCTCTGCCCAGCACCTGCAGGAAGGGCTCATCATACATGCCAGTCTTCCCACTTTTGTCATCACACATGCCAATCTTCCCACTTTTGGCTGTACTGCTAGGGCAAGTGCTCAAGTGCTCAAGTGCCATAAAATAAATCGGTTTCCCGGGGCTTCAGCAGATCTGTATTAGTTTGTCAGTTAAGAATACAGACATTGTGATGGAATTTCTCCACATACGACTGGAAGACAGAAGAGAATAGTTTAAAAATTCAGAAACGCGCAATATTTGCAAAGCAGTTAGGATTCACTGATTTTTGACCCATTCAAAAAATTAATATGATTTGTTACTGTAAGGATTGTACGATTAATAATATAAACACTCCTTTTAAAGAGGAACCATAACTTGAAAGAAATAATAGGTACGTAAGAGAAGTTCTTCTTTCCTTTAATATATTTATATATTTTTAATTTGGAAACCAGTGCAATCATTCTTTCCCTTTTGATGTCTTTTTATATCTCCACAAACCTTTTCTAGCACAGACACATTTCAACATTTCTTGGGAGGAGCAGCAGTGGTTTATATGAAGACAAAGCAGAGGAGATGGACTGGATGGTGATTGAACTGACATAACAAATAAGCACATCTTCAACTACCTAATATCTGGGTCAAGGTATATAGCAAAAAGGCAGCTTCTTATAAAAGAACGAGGCAGAGAAAAAGCAAAGTATTTCATGAATCATCTGTAACTTCAGTCTATCTTCTCTTGTTTATTTGTTCCTCCTGCTTCATTTCTCCCTTTCTAAGACCAAATAGAATTTTTCAGCACATTCAGTTTCTGTGGTCCAGTATTTATCAGATTTTGACAACTAATATGATTTGTTTAAAGCACCCCCAGGCTTGGGTCAGCGGGCGTCGGGTGGACACGGACACTCCGCGGCTGAGCATGGCCGGGAGCGGGGCAGAGGGTCTGGGCACCCACAGTGCTCCCAGGGGAGGAGGCAGCCCCCAGGAACCACCCCCCAGGGAGACCCCATGGTATCCAGCCAGGCCGTGATAGGGCTGGCTGCAGCGTGGGCAGCTGGACCCCGGGAAGGAGGTGGCAGGGCCATGCACTACATTCGGGGCCCAAGAGCTAATGTGATCAGTATACACATTCTCAGTGTATTTTTTTTAACGTGAAATAGTGATACACAAGTTCTAACGTTGCTCATTGAGACAGCCAATATTTCTCATCCTTCCCATCCACTGCGCAGAGAGAAACATGTAGGGGGACAGCTCATCCTCTTTCTGCATTGCATGACTGGGTCCTATCTGGAATTGGGCCTCTTATATATGGCAGCAAAGATACTACTAATACAGAGCTCACTTCATTTGCACTCTTTCTTGGCACATGCAGGCTCTTCCTGAATTTGCAAACACAGCTCCTGCAAACATGGAAGTTCTGGCACAGATCAGCTCTGCTCTGCACAGCTGGCCCATCCATTAAGTTTGGATGACTGCAAGGCTGAAGTTAAAGCTGGTCTCACTGGTTATATTTGTATGCTTGGGGCACTCGGTGCTTGCATGTCATTGAGAGTGGGTACGTCACTCAGCAGGCCAAACAGATCAGCTGGAAAGATTAAAAATATAGCAGCCTTACTTTAAAGCCCAAGCTAAATGTATCAAAGTTAAAGGAAAAAAAAATAAAAAAAAACACCTGTAAAGTTGTAATTAATAACACTGGAGATGATACACAATAACACTAGCCTAATAGGACAATGCATCTAAGATTAAAAAACGCAGTTTTCAGTTCTGTAGAAAAGAAAAATAACCGCAATGTATAATGTAAGCAAACAAAAACTGATTTAAATTAACAAAAATATGTACTAAAACATCCACACAGAATTAACCCATGAAATATATGGTCAGAAAGATCAGAAGGAGAGACCTTCCTGGCTGGCCAGAATGAGGTTTTCTGCAGCTAAGAGGTATCGGTGAGATGAGGGAACAGCGGAATCAGATCTGCAGGTGAACGGCAATAAAGTGAAAGGTTCAAAAACAAACATCTCCTTCCTTCACTGTGCCTTTTTGCAGGGTGGATCCTTTCCTTCCAGCTTGGTTTGCAATCCAGGAACTTTGTTCTGTTTCCTGCATTGTACAATCTTTACCTTGTTCTTTCCAAGTCTCTCGGAAAAATCTCCTCTCTAGCATTTGTGCGGCTTTAATATCTGCTCCTTGAGGCATGCAAACATCCTTCTCTCCTCAGGAGCCTCCTTGTCCTTATCTGTGCTGAAAGCTCCTTCTCTGTTTTCACTCTCATTTCTTTGCCCTACTCCGTGAGCTGGTTCTTGAAGAAAACAATGCAATCACTGCTATTATACCCAGATGAATATTTAAGTCTCGACTGCCCTTCTTGACATTCATATACTGCACCAACTGGGTGACACTGTGAACCTCTTCCATAAATAGGTTTTACAAAGGCCTAGTTCATAAGTTCTGATTGTTTGATTTCTGCACCTTTGCATCGGAATTTTATACTAATATTTATTTTGGCCTCTGAGCATTTTAGAACTCCCAGTACTATGTCTACACAAAGAATCTCTATTCCTCTCTTCTAACTTTGATCAAATAAAGTACTTTATACAATCAACTGTAGCATGACACATTTGCACCCTCTCTTTAAATCACCATAAACGTACATACCTAGTAAAAACAGAGGTCCTGGACTCCCACGTCCCTGACAAGTTGTATGGCAAGCCAGACTGTGTAACTGCATGAATGCCAGTGCTGGCAGCGGTAAGAGCTCGCAGACAGAGCTGCGGGAAGAGGAGACTGTTTCAATAGGAGCACTATGTATTTTGGATGATGACCACATAACTACAGCCTTAGAGCTAGCCAAGCCCGCTGCGAGTGAACTAGTGTAAGTTAATGGCATGACAAAATGTGGTGGGGATTTAGCCAGGCTTCCAGAACTGGTATCCATGCACACAGGTGACACCACCGCATTGATTTTCCTTGATTACAGCCCTCTCAGCAGGGCTATCAGCTCACCCTCTGTGTTAGATGAGGCCGTCCTGCTTCCAGCTACAGGGTGGTTTCTCCAGCCACGGTTTTCTGTACAGCATGGCATGTACGTGCCTCACAGTCCCACCATCTATCATTTACAGTCTTCCACTCAGTTACCACGAATGCCCTTTCTTTTGGCCTTGCTAATATACAATGCTATATTTTTACTTTATATATACACTATACGACTATATTTTTACTTTAAAACATTTCTTCCTTATCCAGCACTTGTAAGCAGTGGGTGGGGAAGTCCTGCCTTGTGCCAGATAGGATAAAAAGCTTTTTAAAGGAGATTGGCACCCACTAATTACTCTGATACAAATACAAGTTGTGCTTCTGAAAACCTCTCATTAGAAACAAGGATCAGAAAGTCTGAGATGAAGAAAACGGAGAGAGCAAAGCTCCTGCAGTGAGTGGTTGAGTATGAAGTGAGTAAAAATTGAGCTGTTGCCTTTTTTTTTTTTTTTAATTCTTTCCGTTTTCCCCCGGGGAGGAATTTTTCCTCCTTCCCTTAGTCAAAGCACGCCCTTTCCTCCCGCGGGAGTGCAGTTTGCTTTCGCTGCCTCTCTAAGCTCTGTAAGGGAGCCCTCGGCTGTAACTCCGCGGAAGGTGCGGTGCTGCCGGAGGCTGGAGCCGGGCGGCTGTTTCACGGCAAGAAGTTACGGGGAAGGGATGGTTGAAATAGGGAACTTGGCGAAACTGTACTTTTCTGGGTTGTCGTCTTGCTTCCAAAGCAAAAATGCATCTTTGCTTTGTTCTTGCTCACATCTGCCTTCCTCTGCTAAATTATGGAGCAGAGAGTAACCAGGGCCCCTGCCTTCTGACTCACTGGATCATAAATATCAAAAACAAGGGTGGGAAAGATACAGTAATTAGTCATCTCTATTTTCTCTTCCTATTTAATGCTTCAAACCAAATCCTTTCCAGTTTTTAGAGGATTAGGTGGTGAAGGGCAGGTAATCTGCTTTCATTATTATCTTTACTAGAGTTACAGTGGCTTTATGATAGCATATAGAAACATATTCTGCTTCCAGATTGCTTTGATATGATCTTCACTATTTCTTTAGCAGCAGTGCTCGTAGTTGCCCTTCTTTTCATCCTTTGTTTCTATCTCTGATTTTCCACCCTTGTGTGTTGTTATCATCTCAGCTGTAAGGCAAACTGTATGTTCATAGAGGAGTCGTTTTAAGCCTGAAGGCACAATTAGGTCCTTTACACCAGGGATTGCCAAAAACAAAATGAAAACACATGAGCTTGTAGCAGTCTTTAAGCTAGCCTTCGTAGACCATTCCCATCCTCTGGTGTCCAAAGGCAGGGAGCAGCTGTGCAGCTGCAGATCAGCACAGGATAGCCATTAAAAAGTAACATACCTGGTTTGCTTCGTAGGATAATTTTAGTTAGTGACAAAGTACAAAGCTAGGTGGTAACACAGTGGTATAACCATGGTAACAGATAATACGTACTAATGATAGTTGAACTGGAAAGAATTAAGCCCCCTGCTGAACACTATTGGAATTGATTCCCTGAGAATGTAGAATGGGTTGGAGAAAAAAAAAAAGAAAAAAAAGAAAAAATACTGAGAATCTCAATTTCAGAGATTTTCGGACTTTAACCTTTTTTTCAAGGACATCCCTTGTTTTATAGCTGATGAACAGCGCCACTTTCTGGCTTGCCAGCCACAAGTACTGAGCAAGTAACTGCTCATGCCAGCTGGGAGATTATCTTAGTCGTTTCTGTCCTTGCTTGTTGCCTGTTCCCCTCCTGAACACGTGGATGCCTTGAAGCTATGGGAAAGGGGGAGGAACGGAGGACAAGGTGGAACAGCATAGTGCTATGTTGAGTATGTTTCTTCTAACGCCATAAAGCATGTTGAAATTAGCCTTTTTTATTATACTCTGATATACTGTTGAATGTGATTAACCTGTTTGTTGTGTAGAACATTTTTATAGAAGGTAGAAAACAGGTGCTTATTATCAGCAAACTGCTAAGCAACAACATACATGTGCAATCTATACTCCACACATTCATTGGAAAGGTTTGTCCTAATATTTACCTTAATATAACCAAAGTGAGTTAGAAGTGCTGCAGGTTTTTTGCTTTACTTTGGTGTGCAAATAATTTATTTCGTTATCTGAAGTTACAAAAAAAAAGAAAGTAAATTTGTTTTTTCTGTAGTTGATTACTGATTTTCAGCCTAACTATCAAGAGCTTATTCTGAAATTTGCTGTTAAAGATGTATGGCTCTTAACATCATTAAGGATGGGCTATTCCTTTCTACTGTGGTAGATTCCTAGAGTGAGTGATGGTGTGGCCACATCTGGGAACTACAGAGGGGAATAAGAATTGTTTGGCTACAGTGAATTAATGCTATTTTGGTCACAGGCAGGTAATTTTGAAATGGAGGTTTGTCTTTTTTCTGTGCTGTGAGACTTCAAAAGGATAGACTCTTAATCTAGAAATACATTCAACAAGTGAAATACTCTGAGGATAGTGGAAATTGCCTGAAGCCATACTGCCTTGGGGGATGAAGGAGCTAATTTTCTGACAGCTTCAGTCATGTAGATTGCATTCTGTAAAGCAATGCTGGGGAAAAATGGTGACTGCACAACCAGAGGTAGCTGCATAGAGAAAGTCATATACAACTGCTTGCAGTTGTTACAAATCATTTGAATTGGATCAACCTGTAAGCAGCCACTAAATGAAGAGGTCAAGCAAAATTTGCTAAATCTCTTCAAGCTGCTTTTAGGCAGCTAGAGGCTTTGTAGCATTCCTGGCATGTTGAATGAATAAATAGTTTCACTCAAAACAGTCATGTGCAATATCAATTGTTGAAGAGAGTAGATGGTGGATAAGCCTTACAGGCAATTGTAGCTATTTAACAAAGGGAAATATCTGCACATAAAATTGTGCTGACCACTTCCTGCTCTTCATGGCTCTATAGGATTTGGCCTTGTTTTGCAGAAATTACTGAATTATTGTAGAGTCCTATGACTTTTTATGTGGTGATATTAGGCTGAATAACTGATGGAGTATATGTCTCCTAGTTGTAAATGAGGTAATAATGTTTTAAGTTAATAATGATGTTTGGCAATTTTTCGGTTGAAATAAACTGTAAGACTGTGCTTGATATCCGCTTTAAAATAACCATTGCTGTTAATACTTTATCAGCTCTGTTGGACTTTGGGGAATCCACACTTACCTCACAGAATCACAGAATCGTTTAGGTTGGAAGGGACCTCTGGAGATCATCTAGTCCAACCTCCCTGTTCAAGCAGGGTCACCTAGAGCATATTGCCCAGGATCACATCCAGACGGCTTTTGAATATCTCCAGCGAAGGAGACTCCACTACC